AGCGTGATATGAAGCGGTATATAAATAAGCTGCTTTGCTGCTTTGCTAAGAGTTGGAAGAGACCCCAAGAAAGGCCGTCCAGTCCAACTCCCTTCTGCCATGCAGGAACTCTCAATGAAAGCATCCCTGACAGATGGCCATCCAGCCTCTGTTTCAAGACCTCCAAAGAAGGATTTGCAGTTGAGGGAGGCGCATTTAGAATGCTCAGCCAGAGAACTCTTAGAAGGAGTCACAAAACTACAAACCCCAGAATGCCACAGGAGGCAGCCAGAGTCATAAAAGTGGAATAGCAGTACTATAAGAGTGTAGTGTGGGAGTCTACTAGGACTCGAGACTAGGGTTCGATTCCCAGCTCAGCCCTGAAACCCACTGGGTGACCTTGGGCAAGTCACACACTCTCAGCCTCCTCAGAGGAAGGCAATGGCAACACTTCCCCTGAACAAACCTTGCCAAAAACAAACAAACAAATAAACAGAACCCATAATAGGGCTGCCATAAATCAAAGATTACTTAAAGGCACATAATGCACAAACCTGAGACATTTTGCTTCTCTGTCAGAGAACTTGGGGGCTACTTGTTGTGTGCCTTCAAGTCGTTTTTGACTTACCGTGATCCTAAAGCAAATCTATCATGGGGTTTTCTTGGCAAGTTTCTTTAGCCATCCTCTGAGGCTGAGAGAGTGTGTGACTTGCCAAAGGTCACCCAGTGAGTTTTCATGGCCGAGTCAGGATTCAAATCCTGGTTTTCCAGTGTCCTAGTCCAACACTCAAACCACTACAGCAAACTACAAATGCCAGGTTTCCATAGGATGGAGACCCCTATGGCATCAAACTGCAGTAATTCTGCAGCGTGGCAGAAGCTTCAGTTCCTGGGTTAAAGTGGTCTCAAGCTGGATTATTTCTGCAGTGTGTTTTGGACCTAAGACGAGAAAGCCCTGATCTTAGTATCCACTAATTTAATGGCTTTGAGTGGCAGAACAGAGAATAGTGAATCTGACTCTCATCTCAATAGTTGGACATGTAAGCAGTCTTTCAGGCAATGTTGTTCTGCACTATTTATGATCTTCAGGTAACAACGTTCCAAGCTATTTGGCCCTATAAAGGTCCAAAGCAGCACCTTTAATCAGGAAAGAAAATGGATAGGCAGATAAATGATAAAGATAGTACAGGCTGAACATTCGCTTGCATGAATGTTACAGCTGATGCATCCTCTACCAGTTGCAGTTTCCAAACCTTCAAGAGTAGCCCCACGGGGAACATGCTACTATAATAATGCAGTAATAATTTCCGGGTCCAGTTCTTATGGCTTACTCTGTTTCTGCTGGTGCTTGATTTAGGGGCCCGATATGATGCTCTCTCGATTGATTAAAGCTGTTGAAGAGTGTTGCCCTCAGATAGCAAGCTCTGTTCAAATAAGGTAAGTCCATCTGTTCTATTTGCATCAAGGAAAGGAGAGTGCACCATTTCATCACACCTGTGGGAATCGTGTGGCCCTCCAGATGTTACTGACCTGCAAGTCTCAGTCGCTCTAGCCAACCTAGCCAAGGGTGACAAATATTTGGAAATCTGATTCTTCTGCATTGGACAGATGCAATAGGCCCTCCATATTTGTTGGGGCACAGGGCCTCCATGAAAGTAGGAAAAACGCAAATAAAAAAACTGTTTTTCAACCAGAGGGACACTTCTTTAGGAATCTCTTACATCCTCTAGCAAAACTTTGTCTTCAGCATCAGCCAGAAGTTGACCATAGAATGACACTGAAGGATCTACACATACCTAGAGATGTGTTTTCTCTAGGAATATCTAGATCTTCCACTGTGACTCTATGGTCAACATCTAGCAGAGTCACACTGAAGGACCTAGCGATTCTTGGAGGGAGCATATCCATTAAATCCACAAATTATCAAATGTGCACGGGTCGAAGCCGCAAATGTGGAGGGCCCACTGTATTTCAACCTGGAAGAAAAACATTTGTCTTGCTTGCTTCATTTACAGGATAAAGCTGATGGCAGGAGGGGAACTGAAAGATATGGAGGAATTCTTCGATGAGCTTTCAGAGGCATTCAGTGGAACAGAACCTGAAGTTCACAAAACAAGTGTCGTTGGTACTGTGTCATTTCTGATATAAACATTTAAGAGAAAAACTATAATTGGAGAAACTTCCAGTACAGTGACATAGATCCGGGTCGCTGAGTTATTTCTGAATGACTGTTGGCCAGGAATAAATGTTTTCCTGCACTGTTTTGTTCCAGTTAATCCAGGCAGTAGAGGACAAATAAGATTAGGGATGCTTTGTGCATTGCAAAGAATGCCAAACGTAGTGTATTACAGTATTTTTCACTGATTACTTTTTAAATTTTCGAACAGTTGCTGTTTTCCAGTACATATGCATTATGTTGTTGGGCATAACTGGGACATAGTTGAACAAGGTTTCTTGTGGCTGGAAATGGGACTTCATTGCCCAAAGAGCTCCTTTGTTGTTGTGGTTGTCGTATGCCTTCAAGTTGTTTCCAACTTATGGTGACCCCAAGGTGAACCTCTTACGGGGTTTTCTTGGCAGGGCTTGTTCAGAGGAGGTTTGCCATTGCCATCCTCTGAGGCTGAGAGTGTGTGGATTTCCATGGCTGAGCTGGGATTTGAATCCTGGACTCCAGAGTCATAATCCAAAGGCTCACCCCTTTGTTGTTGCTACGTGTCTTCAGGTTGACTCAGACATATGATGACCCTATTGCAGGGATTTCTTTATTAGATCTCTTCAGAGGAGGTTTGCTACCATTGCCTTCCTTTGAGCCTAAGATAGAGCA